AGAGAAGATGTTTTCTTATTTTTAATACCTTTAAATAAAACTATCAAAAATAGTAAAAGCGTAGTGTGAATTTTATAATACATGAAGCCGTAAAATATATTCAACAATGGCACAAAGGTCGGGGGAAGGAAATGAAAGTACACTTTTTAAGGTTAATACACAAAAAATGAGTGATGTAATATCTCTTATAGACAATGAAAAGTTTAAGATGTATATGATAAACTATAAAATAATCACTAAAATACCACAACAGAGTTGTAGCTAATAAGCCAACAAAAAGGATAAAATTAAATCATAAAAAATGCTGAATTAAAAAAATATGGCCGAAAAAAGGAAAGAATGAGCAATGAACAAATAAGAAAAATAGAAAACAAATAGCAAGATGTTAGATTTAAACCCAAAGACATACAGTAATACCTCAAAGATACTGTAGGTTCAGTTCCAGACCACTGCAATAAAGCAAATATTGCAATAAAGCATTTCACATAACGTTTTTGGTTTCCCAGTGCATATAAAAATTATATTTGTAAAAAAAAATTATATTTGTACTATACTATAGTCTGTTAAGTGTGCAATAGCATTATATCTAAAAAAATGTATTGGGTTGGCCAAAAAGTTCATTTGGTTAATGAATATGTTGCTAGATAAAGTTCTTGATGAAAATGAAAAAATGTGTCTTTTATTTTTACTTAAAACCAAATGAACTTTTTGGCCAACACAATACATACTTAAATTTAAAAATTCTTTATTGCTGAAAATGCTAACCATCATCTGAGCCTTCACTGAGTCCTAGTAGTAACATCAAAGATCACTGATCACAGATCACCAAAGCAAATATAATAATAGCAAAAACGTTTGAAATATCATGAGAATTACCAAAATGAGACACAGGGACACAAAGTGAGCAGATGTTTTGGAAAAATGGTGCCTACAGACCTGCTCAACTCAGGGTTGGCACAAACCTTCAATTTGTAAGAAATGCAGTGTCTGCAAACTGCAATTAAGGAAAGCTCAATAAAATGAGGTATGCCTGTAAATATATATACGTTACACGTACATGATTTAGGATTGGATGAAAAAGACAATTATATGCTACCTAAAATAAATCCACTTTAAATATAAAAGCACAAACAGGCTAAAGTAGAAGGATGAAAAGTAACATAGCATTCTAGCAGTAATTTTAAAAAGCTGGAGTGACTTTGCTATTAATATTTGGCAAAATAAATTTTTATTTCTTGTAAATAAATTTTAAAGCAAAGAATGTTACCAGGAATATAGAAAGTAATTTCCTAACAATAAAGAGGTCAAGCCACCAGTTCATCAAGAACACATAAAAACCCTAAACATTTATCCATCTAAGTAAGAGAGCTTCAAAATACATGATGTAAAAACTGCTAGAACTACAAGAACAAATAAACTAATCTACAGTAACAGTCAGAGATTTCGACGCTCATTTTTCAAATTGACAGGGCATCAATGTGGACACTAGACGACTTGAAAAAGCGATCAACCAACCTGCCCTAATTGACATTTGTACAAGACTTCACCCAACAAGAGGAGAACACACCTCTTTTGCAACTGTCCAAGGAATATTTACCAAAATAGATTCATATCTGGGTGCTATGGTCTTCGAAAGGTGATTAGGTAGGTCGTGAGGGTAGATTGCTCATGAATGGGATTAGTGCTCCTATAAAAGCAGTCCCACAGAGCTCCCCACCCTCTTCCATCATGTGAGGACACAGCAAGAGGGCACAGGCTATAAAACAGGAAAAGGGCCATCACCAAAACCTGACCATTCTGGTGCCTTGACCTTGGACTTCCCAGCCTCCAGAACGGTAAGCAATGAATTTCTGTTGTTTATAAGCTACCCAGTCAATAGTATGTTTTCATAGCAGCCCAAATGGACTAAGACACTAGGTTTATTCATTTTCTATTGCTGTAGTAACCAATTAACACAGTGTTAGTGGCTTAAGACAATTCATATTTACTGTCTTATAGTTCTGTATGTTAGAAATCTGATAGAGGTTTCAGCGGACTAAAATCAAGGTGTCAGCAAGGCTGCATTTCTTTTTAGAGGTTCTAGTGAAGAATCTGTTTCCTCAACTTTTGCAGCTTCTAGAGTCTATATTCCTTGGCTCGAGCCCCCTTCCTCCATATTCAAAACCAGTAATGTTGCTTCCCTCTAACCATTCTTCTGTAGGCACATCACCCTCTGACCCTGACCTCAGCCAAAAATGGTTACATTAAGATTCATGTAGTTAGGTTGGTCCATCCCAGTAACTCAGAGTAATCATCTTAATGTCCTAAACTTAATCACATCTTCAAAGTCCTCTTCGTCCATGTAAGATAATATATCCACAGATACCAGAGATTAGGACGTGGTAACCTTTGTGGAGCCATTATTCTGCCAAAAACACTGGACCATAAGTCTCAATAAATTTTTAAAATTCAAATCAAAAAAAAATTCAGATCATTCAAAATATATTCTGCAACTACACTGGAATTAAATTAGAGATAAGTGACAGAAGCATTTCTAGAAATTCTCTAAATAGTTGGAAATAAAATATCCCACTTTTAAATACCCCACTGATCAAGGAGGAAATCAAAAAGGAAATTAGAAAGTATTCACCTTAAGACATCAGAAAAAGAAGAGCAAATTAATGTCAAGGAAGCAAAAGAAAGGGAGTAATTAGAGAGAAGAAATTAATGAAATAAAAAATAGAAAAATAAATGAAACTGATAACTCTCTAAGCAGACTGACCAAGAAAAGAAAAAAGGAGAGGGGAAACTAATTACCAATACCAGGAATTAGATGACATCAGTGGATGATATGTGAATATTGTTAAAAATCTTTTGCCAATAAATTCTACAAATTAGATAAAATGGGAAAGACACAACTGAGAGACACAAACGGACAGAGCTCGCTCAAGAAAAAATAGATAACCAGAAAAGCTCTCAATCTATTAAGGAAATTAAAGTTGTAGTTAAAACATTCCCATAAAGAAAATCACAAGTTCAAATTCATTCAATGTTGAATTCTACCACAAATTTAAGAAGGAAATAATATGGATTCTATATCAATTCTTTCAGAAAATTACACAGGAAGGAATACTTCCCAATTTATTTTATAAGGCCAGCAGTACCATGCTACAAAGTCAACAAGATTATAATAATAGAAAACTACAAACTAACATGCCTCATAAACATAGGTACAGAAATTCTTAAAATTTTAACAAATCAAATGCAACAATATATTAAAGGTATAATACAAAATGACTAAGTGGAGCTTACCCCTGATTAGTAAGGATGGTTAAACATTCAAAAATCAATGTAATTCAATTCTATTAGCAAATAGATCTCAAGTCAAATAATTTTACTATTTTACGCTTAAAAATGGAAAGTTTATTACAGTTCTGTAAACAAACACACATACTCATCTGCCTTAATATAACATATCCCATAGGACTAACGTGATGATTTTACTCAAGGACTAAGAACTGGGCTCTACCTATCTTGACCATCACGGTTATTTTCCACATTTTATTATTTTGGGAGAGTGGGATATTTTAACTTCATTATTCAAATTCTGGTTTGGCTTCCAGAATATATTACTAGTATGATCTCAAAAGAAAATCCAATTTAGAAAGTTAATTTCTAACCAGTAAATATTCATGAACATTCTAAAGTAACTGTGTAATTTGCTTAAAAATAAAATTAGATAGCCATGAAATAAAGGGCAGGAAACAATAAAAAAAGTAACAATTCTTTCAATTTTAATTACTATTTAATAAGCTCAAGGATGAGCCCTTTTGTCACCTTCAATCATAATCTGAATAAAACAAGTGAAATCCGATTAACGTTTCTATATAAATCTTAGAAAAATGAAATGATATATCCAGCATCCTCAAAGTCAAAATTCTAAAAACCTACAAGGAAATATTTCTGGCATTCTTTTTTTACTATATTAGCATCTAATTCAATCACAATGAAGAAGTAACTTTATCAAATTAATTTCTATTACTATTTACTGAGTAGTAATTTGTACTAATATTTCTTGAACAGGTAAGTAATTTCCTTAACTTAGACATGGAATCAACCTTACAATAAGAATTTTTCCAGCAAATAAGTGATTTTTACAAAATCACTCAGTCCTCTCACAAATCACATAGAAATTAATATAAATAAAACATGCAAAATTTTCTATATAAAAGAAGAGTAAATGATCTGTAATTTTTTAAAGATTATAAAACATAATGGCTCAGCACAGAGCTTGGCCCACGTGAGCTATTTATTAAACTAATTTGAATTCATTCTAATCAAACAGTCATAAAAGGATGAATAAATAAATCCCAACATTAAAACATAGACTTTTTCTTTTATAAAAGCGTAAATTAAGTATACAAACCTTGACTATTTCAACATAGAAAGAACATCCTAAATGTTCCTAGCAATAAATCAAAAGCCTTTAGCAGCCTATCACTAAACACAATAAAAATGAAATATACAACATATATAGAGTAGATAAAGAAATCAATAGTGAAAGGTAGTGAGCCTTAAAGAATTAACTATTAGGTACTGCTAATCCTAAATTTTTAATGAAGGTCTGAATTATGTTCAGTATATAATAAAGATTACTAAACACAGCAAATGATTTCAAGTTGGACTGTAAGAAAAGAGTATCTATTTGACCCTCAAAGAATAAAATTAATCAGAAAATACAAACAATGTAGTTATTTCAAGATTTGATGCATTTTTAAAGAATATAATCTCAATGAAAAATTAGTACATTCTTTGGTTAATTCAATATTATTTGTGTAAACATTTTTTACGAAGACATTCATCATCGCAGACATTCACTGTATCCTTTGTATGGAGGGTCAATACTTGTTTTCATATTGCTCAAAATATACAAATCTTTATCACCTCTTTGAACAAAAACAGCATTCTTTTTGTAATGAAAATACTCAGTGGTCATTAGATTAAATACTATTAACACTTACCTGTATTTTAATGGGCCATGAAAAGTTGCTGACGTACACATAGAACGTAATGTTTGGATTGCTTCTAAAGTTAAATTTTTCATAGGAAAAACTATCTCTGTATTCTTTTATATTAGTCTTGGAAACTATAGGAGTCTCCTCCCCAGATATTGTTCCAGCTAAAATGTAAATAATAATAACAAATTTAAATAATTCATATTAGGAAACAGGTATCTTTATTAACATAATATATACATATATATGATATTTACTTAATTTTTGTAACTATACTTATAAGAACATAACTATCCAAATAAAGTCATGTTTTACAACTTAGAATGACGAAGAAAAAAGAAAATGAGATTTGTCATACATATTGATATAATGGAAACAGATTTAGTATAAAAATTATTTTTTACAATGATTAAGTGATACACTGATTAAGTGCTACGTACTAGGCACTGGCTTAGAGACTTTATATTCTATTCTAAAAAAAAATTTATCCCAGAGATATTCCAGCTCTGTTTTTCAAACTGAAAACTGAGCCTCAGAAAGATTAAGACACTTGCCTTAAGTTTATAGCTACTGAACAGTAAAGTCCTTTTTGGAACTCAGGTATATAAGGCTTCAGAAACTGAGTTTTTTCTACTTCTCCACAGAGCCTTTCAAAACAAATCAGGACATATTTCACATGTCTCAATCCAATTTAAAAACGGAAAAGAAATCAAATTTTTTTGTTTACCACAAATTGAACCACCACTACTTTGAATAAATTGGGAGGATATAATTTAAAATATGAGTTAAACGTTCAATTAGTTAAACACATATTGGGTACTCAATAAATATTTACTGAAATTAACCAAATGGAAGAAAGAATTTCCAACAATCTTACCAAGACCTCCACCTTAACAGTAAAAATAATTAGGATACTGAGCAACTGAATTAATTTCTAACTGATGACCTCTTCCAAAATAACCTTGGATGTTTTTTTAAAATGCAGATTTCCTGATGACATCTTCCAAACTGATAAATCAAAATTTCTGAGATTTGGTTCTGGGAATCTGAAGGTTACAAGTGATCTCTTGCATATTAAAACCACTGTTCTAAAGTGATTACACAGGTTTTATGTATTTATGTTGACAAATTTTAAAACTCTTGTAGAGTCAGTTTATTATGCAGAATTTCAAATTTACAGTACAAGTTATCATGAATTCTTATTAATGAAACTCACAGAGCCAAGATTTCACTATATGTTTGCACTATTGGAACAAAATATCTACATAATTGTCTAATCTTTTCCATTTTTACACATGTAATATAAAATCTGGAATTGCAAAGACCTCTTCACTCTTGACTTCTGTTTCCATTATTCTACATATTAAAATAGCATAATAACTTAATTTTAAGAAATCAAATATGGATTTCTAAGGATCCACATATTTTCTTTAAAAAGCTTCCAGCACTTTTATGCAACAGTGTATCTTTTACATAGAAAGTAGAAAGCAATAGAATTTCCTAAAATGTAAATATAAAACGGTGAGAATACTTTTTCATAATACAGCATACAGATTTGTACTTCTTCTTAGTTATGTTTCTTAAAAGTTAACAATTTCAACTTATAAACCTTATTATGGAAGAACTATTAAGTGCAGGGGTTTTTTACCCTCTCTCAGCACCAAAGCTGACAAAGGTAGAGGGTAAGCTTAAAAGTAATAGATAATTTGGTAATTTATCAGCATATACAGAAAAAATTCACTGTCTTATATCAATAGTAAGGTCAATAATTAAATTTATAGCTTCAATGGTGAATCAAGTAATTGAAATTTCAGCCTCTTTAGTCATTAAAGAAGTAATCTATCTTAATTAAAATCACAGGAATTCATAACACTGTCATAAAAAAAATTAAGTAGTGTAAAATGTTGTTATCTACCTAATTTTAATTGAATTAGGGAGAAAGTTAACACTGTAATGAAGCTTTATTAATAATGCTACTTATTATTTTTACCTGAAACAGCAGGTATTATTATATGCATAATTATGGCATATAGTATATATATGCCATATAATATTTTTAATTTCAATTATTTAAATTAACATAAAAGGTCATAGAACACCCTACGTATAGGAACAAAAGTGAAAGACACATGACAACAAAATTCTCTTACCTGTTGAACCAACTGACCAGGTAATGTTGAGATTAAAGTTGTTTGATGCATTAATTGAAATATCCAAATTTTTGTTTGACTACCAAGAAAGAAAATATTGTGGTTAAAAAAATCAAATTATACTAGATAGATATGTTTACTGTTTTAATTATGTCCAGGCTATATTTCTCAAACTGTAAACATCATGTCAATACTCAAGTGAGAAAGTGTCGACGCCAATTACACTTTTTTAATGAAAAAATATAGGTGATAAATTCAAAGGTATATTTAAAGTTCTCATTTATCTTCCCTACTATGATCTGGCCATCTCTATGTAAGCCAGAGGCTGCTATAATTCAATATTTTAGCAATTGTGGCTTCGTATTAATTAAGTCAGGTTCATGAGGCAACAAAATGAGTTTATAAAGACTGTGCATCATTGAGTCAGGCGACCTTGGGTTCAAATCTTAGCTCTTTAATGTTCATGCTGATTGATACAGGGAAGGTTACCGCTCCTTCCCGAAAATCAGTTTCCTTATCTCTGAAATGGGGATTTCATGACTTTCCTAAAGACTTTCTTGTGAACATTAAATAAGATTCTTCATCTTCTTCCTTACCAGGGGACTTCCTTACCAGAATCAAGAAATCATGATTGCTGACCTCTGAGAAGGGGTTGATTTTTTTATTATTAATGGAGTGGTTCAAAAATAGTTGCTTTTCTACAAAAACAAAACATGGTAGAAACAATGTACCCCTAAGAAAACTTAAATCATTATTTTTATCTTGAAGTCACATCTTCATGATTGTGTGTGCCTTATTTTGGGTCGGGGAAATGTGAGAATAACTGGTATTATTGCTAGAAAGGTCACACAAAATTTGCAACTGATATAGGAAACTATAGAACTCTTCTTGAATTTTTAGTTCATCCTCTCAAGTTCAGGCATTACTGAAATATGTGGTACCATAACTAAAGCCCTATAAAATACATTTAAGGTCAAGGAAATATACTGGACTGGAAGAGGTAATACTGTGACTACCACAGTAAATGAAAAATTAGTCATTTAGAACATTATTGTTAGATGTGGATAAATTCAGCAAGATATTACACAAGAAACTACTCCAGAAATTGTTCACATGAAAGCATTGGCTGGAGATGATGTACAGTGGGTTAGAATTATATCTGTTTTCAAAATATAATAAATGCATAAATAATGTAGGTACCTATTTTTTAATTTTTTTGTAGGATAAGTAGGAAACCCAGACCAATAATCCATTTTAATTTCAGAAATTGTTCCAAGTTGAATTCCTCTTTAATTATAAATTGTATAAATATAATTATAAATTAGTTATAATGATGTTACAAGCATCCTTGGTGGCACTTCTCATGATAGTTTAGTGTCCTTCAGTTTCCAAAAACATGTGTCTGGGCTCTTGGCTTCAACTGAACAACACAGCAGAAAGTAAAACTGAAAGCGGTGACATTTGTAAGAATTCAAGTTTTTCTGGAAATTGAAGGAGGAGAGGATAGCCAAGAGAAAAGCAAACTAGAATTATGGCTAATCTGAGCCTATGTGTATGACATATGACACTATGGATCATATTGGAGAGAAGTATTACTCACACCCACATTGTGAGTCAGATATCCCACTTATATTAAATGTCTTATATCCTTAATGAACTCTACAAGTACCATTAAACATTCAAGAAGCCAAAGGTAAAGACTAAATTCTGATTCATGCTGCAACATGGATGAACACTGGAAACACTGAAACATTAGGCTAAGTGAAATAAGCCAAACACGGAAGTACAAATGTTGTATGATTACACATATGAGGTACCTGGAACACAGAAACTGATAGAGAATGATAGAGAAAGTAGAATAAAGGTTACCAGAGGCTGGGGGTAGGGGAGGAATAGGGAGTTATTGCTTAATGGATACAGAAATTCTATTTGGACTGATGAAAAATTTTGATGATGGATTGTGGTAATGGTTGCATAACACTGCAAATGTACTTAAATGCCACCAAATTGTATACCTAAAAATGGTTAAAATTATAAATTTTACTTTATGTATGTTTTACCACAATAAAAAGAAGTCTACAGTGTTTACAATGCACTTATTAAAACATTCTTATTATACAGAAAATGTAGTTTCTGACATTAATATGTCTTTATAAAAATACACACCATCAGTGAAGAGAGTATTATACTTGTAAGAAGACATCCTCAAAAAGCCTTATTTAAAAGTCAAAACTTTAAATGTAGTCCCAAGAATGTAGGCATCCCTTAAAATCTAAGGAATAAGGAGTATTTCCCTATTTTGGGGAAAGAGGGCTCTTACTTTACTAGAAAATGAAAATTTAAATTATACTATCTTTTGCCAAATTCAGTAAAATATTTTAGAGGAAAGAAGCTAGCGAATGCCAGGATACATTTTGAGGTTCCACCTATTTGAAAAACTATTAAAATACATGATATAGATTTAGTAAGCTGGATTAATGTATACTAAGAATACAGCATTTGAGAAAGAGTGACATCAGCAAGATGGTGGAATAGGAGGTCCCAGCGCTCATCCCTGACAAAAAGAAAACAATTTAACAATGATAGATGGACCAAAACACCTTTATGACAGGACCAAAATCCAGTTAAGAAGTTGCAGGACAAAAAAATGAATACAAAACTTATTCTAGCCACATTATAATGGGTAAAAAGAACAATTTCACTTTACCAAGGTCAGCACCTCCCCCAAGCCAGCGCAGCTCAACATCAGAAAGATCGACTTGGCCAATGACTGCTCCCTCAGGGGAAAGAGAGAGTGTAGGATATATCCAACATGATTGTCCTTTAATTGTACTGCCCAAAGGACCTATTTCTGTCTCCACTATGACAGAGAGCACTGAGAGAACAAGCATGTGTGGACATCTGACATCAGCTAAGAGAAAACAAACAAAATGTGGGTGGCTCACTAGAGCCAACATGACTCAGAGAGATTGGGAGAAGGTGCACAACCCTGAGAACTTCTCCCCCAGAAGTTGTTAAAGGATACAAACTTGCAAAGAGTAGGTAAATCCTAGAGATCTAAGGCACAGTATAGTGATTATAGACAACAAATACTGTATCATAAACTTCAAAGTTGCTAAGAGACTAGATTTTAATTATTGCCCCCCCAAAATTACAATTATGTGACATGACAGAGGTGTTAGCTCATGCTATGTTTGTAATCATATTGTAATATATGCACATATTAAATCAGCATATTATACAGTTTAAACTTACACAATGCAATATGTCAATTACATCTCAATAAAAATATTTTTTTTAAAACCTAGCATTCATATAACTCAGATAAAACAGTTGATTTAGAAAAAATATAATGAAAACTTACTACTATGTAACAGTATATTTTTAAAAAAAGAAAATATATATAAGATAGCCTGTGTTTTGAAGCTTTGGGTTATATTTTCAAAAAGACTACTCCCAGTTTCAGAACGTAATTAAAAGCATAAACACTGTTGTAAGCCTGAAAAATAATAGAAATAATGCATAAATTGTAGGACTATTTACAAAATCTGAAATATCAAGCTCACAAATTCTGTGAATCACAAAGATAACTAGGTCTAACGAAAAGAAAAAATTAACAGGATTAGTCTTTCTACAAAAGCCCTACAGTGTGATAATTCTGAGAAGAGGTACAATTACAATGAAAGATGATGAAAAGCTGTATCCGTTGATATTTTAAAAGTTAAATTATCTTCTCACCTGTTCTGGGTTTGCTATGAAGTTTATGGCAGTATGATGGCGATCATCTTCCTGTAATAAGCTGAATGTAAACTGATAATCAATCAAAAGGCTGTCTGTAGGGAAAAAAAAAACAACAATCCTGATATGTACTTTTAAAAATTGACAAAAGTTAGGTGAAAATATATGGCATATCAGATTTGAAAATTATTATCATTAATTCTTAGTGGCCTATTCAAGACTGGCAAACTATAAATCTTTGTTATCAAGCAACAAAAAGCAAAATATAGATATGAAAGTAGTCCTAGCTCTTCAAAATTCTATTTATTACTTCTCTTGCTATTATAAAGGTTCTACAAACACTGTAGCCATTCTGGAAACTACACAAGAGAATAAAATAAAGTCATCCACAATCTTACAATCAGAGAAAAATACAGGTAACACTTTGGTGCATTTTATTCCAGTTATAATTCTGTAGATAGAAAGACGGGGAGACATTTTGGTATCCTAGTTTCATAAAATCAAAATTCTTTGAAAACATGAATTTTAATAGCTAAATAATATTTCATCACATGCCATAATGCATTCACTTGGACCTATTATTGTAGTAATTTTTACTTTCAGCAGTTTTTAAATGACTCTGTGATAAGCATCATTCTACAAAAGTGACTCTTATTAACAATTGGTAAAAAGAATTCAGTGGTAAACATTTTTAAATTTTGTCCATGTATAATAATACTGAAACCAAGGTGAAACATTTAAATGTTATAGGTCATGAATAGCTTCAAGTGTTATGAGTGAAGTATCACTCATAATGTGAAACTGCCACCTTTTATGGATCAGAAAATAAAGGATCAGAAAATAAAGGAATTAAAACATAATTCTGAACCAGTTCATGTAGGTCAAATCTGAAAAAGCCTCCCAGAATAGAACAGAGATGAAAATCACTGAAGAGGAATATTAGACATACAAATTTTCAACATATGCAGGGAAAGTGTTGTTAAAAGCAGACAATCATAACAAATTGAAAGGAGCACATATATGTTAAATATATGATAAAAAATCTGTTGAAGATTCAAACCTAAATGTTAAAAGGAAATGCCCTGCATAAAAGATAAAAAGATATTATTTGGCCATAAAGAAGAATGAAGTACTGATACCTGCTATAACGTGGATGAACCTTGAAAACATTATGATAAATAAAAGAAGCCATCACAAAATCTACATATTCCATGATATCATTTATACGATATTTCAGAGTAGACAAATCTTTAAAGAGAGAAAAAAGGTTGCCCAAGGCTAGGGGAAAGGAGAATGAGGAGTGACTGATAATATGTACTGGGTTTCTCTTAGGAGTGAGGAAAATGCTATAAATTAGATAGTGGTGATGTCTGCACAACCTTGTGAATATACTAAAAAAATCACTGAATGTACACTTTAAAAGAGTGAGACTTTAGGTATACAAATTATATCTCAATAAAGTTGTTATTAAAAAAATAGACATCCAGGCATATCCATATGGGCATGTGCACACATGCGCATGCGCGCGCACACACACACACATATATTCATACAAACAAATTAGTTATTTAGAAAGCAAGATTAGGCAAGATGCTAGGTGATCTTGAGTAACAACATGTCAAAAGACAAGAAACTGAAGCAATATTTTATGAAATATATATACTCAACCATCCTGTCTACATAGAAAAACAACATAATGATAACTCCACATAAGCAATGCCCTAAAATATAAGATCTACATACTCATCCTGAAAAAAAATTATTTATACAAATACTACAACTAAGAGACAAATACAGATATGGAAATAGCATAGCAAAAAGGTCTGTCAGTGAACAGATGACAGATTTCAAGTTAGCATAAAAGAAGAAAACAAAGTTAACTTTCTTATGTCTAAAATCAGATTGTTGACGAAGAAATATAACACAACTAAAAAGCTACTAAAATAATAAAAAATTTCAGTATGTGGCCAGATATAATATAAAAATATAAATACCTACAGTTCTTATTTGGGGGCTATTTTAACACAAAAAACCCACACCACCTTAATTGCTATAACTATATAGTCAGCCCTAACATCTAAGATCTCCAGACCACTTTCAATGTATATCCTCTGCTTATAATAAAGCTATCCTGAGAGTACAGAGTATTCGAGTCCTATAAGCCTTCTTGGAACTTGAACACAACGTAATTAATGCATAATTAAAGTACACGCAGAAATTGAAATCAATAATGATGTCAAGAGAGATAACAGGCAGGTGAAAAAGTATTAAACGGATAGAAGATTAAATGGGCCACACAGGATTTCAGTGCAAGGCAGCAACAAGGAGAGGTAAAATATTGCTTCAAAGGAGATGAAATTTTGCAGTGAGTAAAGAAAAACGGTTATTTGCCAACTCAAAGGAAGAAAGGTTGATACTATTTCTATGTCTAGATTCTAAGGGGTCGACACTGGGAAAGAAAAAACAGTCAACACTTCCCCTAGAGAAGAGTCACGTTTCAGGATACAAGTTTCTGTTAAAGCAAGATAGTAGAGTTTCAAAAAGAGAGTAATAATATACTTGGTGGTTTAATTTAAAAAATAATAACATTTTTTAAAAGAAAGAAAGATTAATGCCCCAGAACCAATGAGCATACTTAGCTCCCAGGTTCTTCTTTCTAAACACCATTCTCCAATATAAGGAACCATGGCTTCTTGGAAAAATGGTTGATTATAGGGCTAGGGCTGGAAAGTACAATATGAGTCTGAAATTTCTTATAGTGTCAGAAAATAAGGAAGTACTCAGAGAATGATAGAGTCTTGCCAAAACAACAGAGGAGGCAATTTGAGGGAGTTCCCAATGGCCAAATCTAGAGCAATTTCAGCTGTAAAATAAATAACAATAGCAATTTATCATAAGCCACAATATGTGTGTGTGTGTATCTCCATGGGTCCGTACCGATAAATACAAATAAGTGAATAAACAAATAAATGAAGGAGAAGAGACAGCTCTTCCTTATAGTTAATAAATGTAGAGGAAACAGAAGAAATAACAGAATAGAAAATCACCATTTGGCAAGAACATCAATGTATGGTAAAAATAGTGGGTGATAGTATGGTGAGAAATAGGACATTTACACAATTTCAAAGAATGTCCCCATAATACACTCACTAAATACAATAAAAACAGTAACTTTAGAGTGGAAAAACTGGTAGACATCGTGCATTAACAAGCGACCAAAGACAACACCACCAATAATGGAACAAATTGATATCATATGCTTCCCGACAGGATGCACTGAGAAAAAACACACATCACATCTGTGGTATCCTTACTAAAAATGCATAACCTGAATTTCATCGTGAAAAAACGTCAGACAAAACCAAATTGAGGGATATTCTATAAAATAACTGTCCAATACTTTCCAAGGGTCAAAGTCATAAAAAAATGTGCACATTTTTTGTAAATCTGAAATTATTTCACATGGAAAATTTTAAAAGAGCTTTTAAAAAAGCTGCCTATATGTCCTCAAGTTTCATTCATGTCATATATTATAGGATTTCCATTCAACCATCAATGAACCTTTAAGCTATTTCTACATCTTGACTCTATTAAACAGTGTGGCAATGAACACTGTAAAGCTATTATCTCTTCAAGATCCTGATTTCAACTCTTTTGGATAAACACCTATTGCTGGAGCTCAGTGAAATAAAACAGTCACAGAAGGACAAATACTGCATAATTCTACTTATATGAGGTATCTAAAATAGTCAAGCCCATAAAATTAGAGAGTAGCAAGATGGTTGCCATGGGCTGAGAGGAGGGGAAAAACAGGAGTTGATAATCAACAGACATAAAGTCTCAATTATGCAAGGTGAATAAAAATTTGTTGAGGATAGATTTCATGTCAAAAATAAGATAATTTTTATTTGATTTTAGAACTGCCAATATGGAAAAAAACAATGAATAAAATTAATTTAAAGGTATGATATGCTGGCAGTTACAAGAGAACAGATGACATACCTAAAGATATTAAGGACAAATTAAAGAAAAATAATTCTGAGAAATATTTCCTTTGTCATGCCATGTTTGGAAAAGAAATAAATACACTAAAAGTGTATATTAGCTTCTTATTGCTGCTGTTACAAATTACCAGAAACTTAGTGGCTTAAAGCAACATGAATTTATTCTCTTATAGTTCTGTAAGTCTGAAGTCCAAATGAGTCTTACAGGGTAAAACCAGTGTTAGGGGTGGTCCCTTCTGGAGGATATTCAAAAAGAATCCACTTCCTGCCTCTTCCAGCTTCTGAAGACCTCTCATTCTTTAGCTCATGACCCCTTCCTTCCTCTCTTTCCAACCTCTTCCTTCCATCATCACAGTTCCCACTACTGTAGTCAAACCTCCCTCTGTACCCTTTCAGAAGAACGCATGTAATTATACTGGGTCCACCAGAATAATCCAGGAAAATCTCATCTCAAAATCTTTAATTGAATCATATCTGCAAATCCCCTTTTACCATTTATGGTAATATATTCACAAGTTTCAGGAATTAGGATGTGGACTTCTTTGGAGGGGGAGGCCATTATTCAGCCTACCACAGTGTCATTACATAGACAAAAGACTGGGAAAGTATCAGATACAATGTTACCAATAATTTTCTCTGGATAGAAGAATTTCAGTGATTTTTAATTTGTCTTTTTGTCTATTTCTTTTCTAGAATGAAACACACATTACTTCCATAACTGGGGCCAAAACGGGGGAAATTTGTTAAAAGAAGTGTTCAGAGAACTTTTTTCTTTTGATCCTTGATCTTTAATGTGCTTTTCACATGACTTACACTTACATGGTAAGAAATTAGATTTATATGGTTGTATATCTTTCCAGAAATGGCATATCTAATTCCTAATTCACTTATTTCTTAGGTATAGACAAAAAAAACATGTAAAATAATTAGTCTCTCTGCCTAGTCTTCTCTGGCTAGAGCAAACCAAGGGTGAAGTTCCAATATGCAACAGCAGACTTTTTTAGGTAGTTCAGTCAATACTGGACTAGCAGTCCTGGAGCAAAAAAAAAAAAAGTGGCTGCTATTCACCACAAAGAATTAATAACAAATTA